TCACTTTTATTTGTAGCACCTGTCACCATCTAAAAACACTCACAGATGGACTATGTGTGGTATATTTAGTATCTCTCAAAATTTATATTCCACTTCACCCAGTAGAATGTAAGCTCCATGAGAACAGAAGCTTTGTCCACCCCACTCAGCTCCACCAGCAGGCCTGGCACACTGGGAAGTACTTAGTTTTTGCAGACCTGATAAATGAATACATAAACATTTTGTATACAAAAATATCAAAGCTTAAGAAATTAAGTAACTAAATCCCACACTGGCAGAGCTGAGATAGGAATGCTAGCCTATCTTCCAATTCCTTAGTCTTAACCATTAAAACAGAAAATGCTCATATAGTCAGTCTTATATATATTCAGTCACAATAATAACATCACTGAGTGAAAACCAGAGGGAGCTATGCAGACAATCCCTGTACAAGTTAAAAAAAAAAAAAAAAAAAAACCCTAAGACGGCCTCCAGATAATTGCTTATGAATTATAGGCACTAAACTAGCTCTCTCCTTTCAGTCCCCGTGGTCTTGGCAGCAAGCAGTACGAAGCTCCCACCTTCAACTACATGTATCCTTAAGTAGCCAAAAGATCACTACCAGCATTTGCATGTACACATTCCAGTACTTATGACTGGTACGACACCAAGGACCTAACTTTGAAATAACTCTTTCTTCTTTCAAAGGTGAATCTTTTTTTGGTTTACATGGCCAAGCTACAATTAGGTTTTCTTCATATTCTCTTTCTCTTCTATCACTGGGATACATTCTTCCCTCAATTCACCTTTAAGCTAAAAACAAAATTCACAAATCTCCATGTATGACATTAAATGGTATCTTTGTTTTCATAACTTAATGGAACTTTATTTTAGACCTGTGGGCCTAATCCAACATTGCAATGTGTTGCATTTAATTCCATCGATGTAAATCATAATGAGCAAAAAATGGAGCTAGTGAGACATAATTAAATGCTTTGAACATGCGTATTTAAAAAACAAGCCTTGTTTGCTGTATTCCGAAATAACAAATAATATCATTTTCCAATATTTCACTATCAAATTATACTAACTGATCCAACTGGCACACAGTTGAGGAAAGCCACAACAGGACTTTTCTAACAGCTCATTCAATTGTTGCTCATAACCTTGTAAATATTTCCCTTCACTGGCTTCAACTCAAAGGTAAACAGAAGTCACTAAAATTTATAGAAAATATATTCAACTGCTTAAACTACATCAACCAAAAGAGAAAAGATTTTAGACCTTCATTATGAGTTGTGAAATTACATCACCTTCACTCGGTCTCAATGACAGATAGCAGCATTGACAACTGGTCAGGATCCGAAACACCTCCCTCTGGAGCCTGACTCTTCCATCTCACACTCTCTCACCTTATCAGAAGCCAGAGTAAATGCCTGTCCCTTCACGTTTTTACATGGCATCACCTTGTACACCACAAATGTAAGCTTTCACACCAGGGAGAAAGCAAATTCTAGCACTGGACAAATTGCCACTCTTTTAAACCATTCTGTTGATTGTACCCTTTACTTTCTCAGCTATCAAGATGGCGAGAGGAAGAAAATGATCTTTCTGTAAACCTGTAAAGTGTAAGGAGGTAAGTTTGCCCTTTAAGCTCTGCACAGAGACAGGTGAAATTAAATTCAGGTCTAAGGTTTTAAATTTTGCTATGAAAATTATATTCTAGCACTTGACTCAAATGTTGCAAGATTTTAATAAAACAAGATTATTCAAGTGAAGTCAACTGAAGTCAATTTTCACATTTCATGGGCCAAGGGAGAGACATTAAAGAAGAATTTTTTAAAGTAACATTTTAGAGATACCATACTTTATAAAATTAGGGGAGAAAGTGACAATGAATCAATTCAAAAATGCCTTAGTGTAGGGAAGTGAGGCAGTCTCAAAAGCATTAACTCTTTCTTTTTTATATATACATAAAATCTAAATTTTATTTTATTTTTTGAGTTTATTGGTACAATTTAGGTATACAGTACAGTACAGTCACATTCATTATTGGGATCTTGTACCTCTACATGACAGGTCTTGGTTCTCATTTTTTCCCCTTGTCCCTGCCCTACCTTCACCCCTCCTCCCCTCCCCATTTACAAACACTTTATTTCCATCTTTTTTCATTTTCTCACATTTTTTTCTTTTCCTTTATTACCCTTCCCCTACCGATCCCACCTTCCCTACACCTTTAGCCCTTTTCTTTCCATCTCACAATGTCAGTTATCTCATTAGGATCTTATGTACTCTTACAGTTTATTCACACCAGAGAAAGTATTTGGTATTTACACATGTGTGACTTATTTATTTCACTTAGGAGTATATCCTCAATATGTATCCATTTTCCTATGAATGAATCTAATTTCTCATTCTTTATGGCTGAGTAATATTCCATTTTATAGAAAAACCACATCTTCTTTATCCAGTTTCCAACTGATGGGCAAATGGGCTGTTTCCAAGTTTTAGCTATTACACCTTTAACTCTTTCTTTAAAAGAAAGCTAGAGACTTAAAATTTTTTAAAGATTAGCATGAAGAAAAATCAGCTCAATACAAGAAAGTAACTCATTCATCTGGCTCAAACCTATTCTATTTAGTCCTTTCTCTATTAATTCTAGAGATCTTTATAAATATTATCCAGTTAATCCTTCAGCTACCAGTACAACAGGAAAAGGCACTGCTCTTACTTCACAGAGCAGGCTTTAGTCAGAGAGAGAGGCATACAGACTCTTTATGTGTGCTAGGTGCAGAAAACTTCAAAGCAAAGAGCATAGGAATTATACCTTTTCCTTCTTTGACGTGGGCTTTTTAGGGCAGAGAGAAGTCACACACACACACACACACACACACACACACACACACACACCCCACACCACACCACACACCAGAAATATATGCAATGTAAGACTGGCTTAAATAAGCAAGCAGATTTGGAGTTAACTGTGCAGTGGCCATATGACAGACTTGCAAGAAAAACAGGTTCACAGAGTCCCAGTCCACACTCCATCATCTGAAAAATACCTTTTTTATATCAAACCCTAAATATTCTGCATGCTTTATAATCCCAACCAACACCAGGCACCTCCATTTCCATTTCTACTCTTGACTCTTGGAAGCAAGAGATGGTCAAAGGAACAAAGTGGCTGACAAAATTCCAACTTTCTTCTAAATCCCTAATATAGAAAACAGTGAAGTAAGACAAGCTGCTACAGAAGATAGAGCAAGAGAAAAAGATTACACCCTCTTCAAGGGCAGGCTCAATAGGGCAGTGTGATAAATGTCCTCAGCATTCAAGGGGCACCTTGCCCATATTTGTTAGTATCTGTTTTCATGTTTTTATCCCCAAAGAAGGCTGTGATCACCTTGAAGGCAAGGCCTAGGCTTTATATCACCCTGGCCTACCAGCCACTTAATTCAAAGAAATGAACCAAGAGTCGATTGACTTCTCCTAAATTCTCTTGACAGTAAAACTCAGAACGTTTGTTATGTGAATTTTTTTTTTTAATGCTGCAGATCTAACCAAGGGCTTTCTGTGTCCTAACCAAGCACTTTACACTGAGTTATACCCTGAAAGTCCTCAATTTTTAAAAAGACCACCCCCAAAACAAAAAGTCTGGCATAGGGACACATGGGTGTAATCCCAGTACTCTGGGAGCATCTCAAGTTCAATAACAATTTGGGAAACTTAGTGACCCTGTCCCCAAATAAAAACAAAAAAGCGCTGGAGATATAGCTCAGTGTGAAGGTCCTGAAAAAAAATTTTTAATTTAAAAAAAATCACAGCCACACACACATTAAAAGACAAATGACAGGAAAGGGGACTTTTTAAATATGAAACCAAAGCTATTTTAAAGTCAGATCCTGAGTCAGTAGACACTGACTTAATGGTAATATGTTTCACAATAAACATTAAGTCTTGTAATCATACAAGTATTTCCTAACCCTACGTGCATGTCTGGTGTCTATCCAGACAGGTAAGCATACACCCTGAAAACGCCCCTGATGATAGTTTCTGGACCTGGGGACTGGCATGCTGTTGAAATCAGGATTCACCTGTTTGAGTTTTGCTTGTTTTGTTTTTGTGTCGCATGGGTCTGGCTGCACTATCCAGGCTGGTCTAGAACTGCTAAGCTCAAGCAATTCTCTTATCTCAGTCTCCCAGTAGCTAGATTTACCTTTTTTTATTACATGCTAATAGAATCTATTATACTAGGTTTCACCACAGGAAGCGCAGATTTACAGTACTATTTGGGTTTGGTTTTCTTACTGGAAAAGGGGATACTAAAGTTTAAAAATTATGCCAGAAAAGATCCCAAGTTAAAGGAAACTTCAGCAAAATCCAGCAGTATACTTTGCTTCCATCTCTCTCCTAAGTTTTGAACCTTTGAATATGCTCCCAAGAAACAAAGACCATCGGTGCGAGTTGGAAGACTGACAGGCACATCGCCCTGATGCTCCTGAACCAGGCACCTGCCTCTCCATTACCTCCTTGCATAGGCACTTACTGGTTCCCAGATTCTAAGATTTCCCTGAGACAGAGACAACAGAAACCTCACTGAAGTAAAAATGTGACCTTTGGCATCGTGCTCTGGCTTTAAAAGGCCAAGACCACACCAGAGAGCATCTGAGGCAATTTATTAAATCATGCTCACCGTCTCTGCCCCACAAATAAAAATCCTGGAGCAAAAAGGCAGTATGGCCACAAGCCAATGACAGGAAAATTAAACTTCAGTAGAAGGATGCAGAGGGCAAAGATATTATTATCAATTACCCAGTGTATACTCCTAACGCTGATATCAATGACCAGAAGAGTACAGAGCATGCACATAAGCCATGGGTTTCAGCAGACGGATTGAAGGCAGGGAAGGAATCCTCTTCTCTTATTTTCTTTCCTGTGCAACAGATCCCAAACCCTAAAATTAGTACAAATATTTTATGTCCCCCTGCAAAACAAGTCCAAGTGGCATTCACACGTACATTCCGGCTGGGAAGATGCAGTCGCTGGCTCAGAGTTCACTGTCGCGACCTGACACCTCTGCCTCACTCGCACTCCTTCCACTCCACGGATGACAGGTGGAAGACTGCAGTAATGACGGACTCCATGCCCTTGGCAGTGACCCCCCTGGAGTGAGAGAGTAATTCAAGTCAGAACATGATTCTTTACCGGACATTTGCAAGCACAAATGCTCCTTTTGGAGAAGAGGCTCTGGCCCTGAGCATCGGCACAAACAGTTGTCGTAGAGCAGGCTGCCTTACTCAACACACAGCATCTCTTCACTGACTACATCCTAGACATGACTCATCTGCAAAATAAAAGTGAATGAAATGTCCATTTACACGGCTTTCTCTCCTATACTGTTAGGCAAAAAGCACGAGGAGACTAAGCTGAGGTGCTGACCTCTGGCTTGAGCAGAAATGGAATTACTCTGCCACACATTATTTTAAAATGCAAAGCACAATTCAAGTTAATATGTCACTTGGAGAAAGCGCTGTGCTTTTTATATGAGAATTCATTTATGAGAAGCTTAGCACTATTTTCCCCTTAACCTTCTCAATTTATCATACATTCACTACTCTTCCACAGCAAACTTTTATGTGCAATTTTAAAGCTCTGTAATATAAGTTACAAGGGCACTAGTCTTTGAAACCCAAACAACAATCTCATGAAAATGAGGTGATGTTAACCAGCTGGCAATGGTACGCTCCATCCTGACCCAACATGCTAAAAAATATGATTGAGCAGGATTTTGTAGGATCTTTCTGGAGGACAAAAGTATGGAGCCAGCTTTTATGTGACTGAGAGAAACCACATTTATTCATAAAGCTTTGTTTAAAAAAGCATTAAAATAAGGAACAGCAAAAATAAATCCACAATTTTAACAGGATCTATTTCCTTCAAAATGACTTTATAAGCTTTTGAGATTTCTCTAAGCAGTAATCCAACCACTATCACCACCCCACTCTGTGCTGAGTGAGGACCAAAGCCAGGGTCTTGCACATGGTGAGCATTCACTCTGCCCCTGAGCTACATTCCCAGCCGTGAGCACAGTCAGAAGAAACTAGAGCATGAGCCTGTCCAAAGCTGCCACACTGCTTCCTTCTTTCCTCAGCTTAAGTTTTCTCATTTTTAAGTAGGGATAATATCCTCCTGCTCTACAGACCTCATACAATCAAATTTTAAAACAAAGACCTACCAGAAATTACTGGACATGCTGGAAACCACTATCCAAAGGCATGAGAGGTGATGACAGCAACAAGGGTATGTATATATATATATATTCCTTCCAAATACTGTACCGAATACAGAAAAGCAAGACTGCACAAGTGTAGAACCAGACTTGCTCTACTTAATGTACACAGCACCACCTGAGGTAAACAAGACTAAAGTAGGGTTGGCCACAGCTGAACTGGAAGTACTTCCCATTCAAATGACTGCAAATCTTTAACACATTCACAAGGGGGCCGTAATTCATATTTCTCACTGCTAGGTGGTTCTGAACCCTTGGCAGTACATGGATGGCTGTTCCATCAGGCAGCATGGGGCAGTTCCAACAGGTGGGACAAGCCACCCCACCAAATGGACAGTTGTGCACACACCTCCAGGGGCTCAAGCCAGCAGAAACATGTTAAACTACTACCTAAAAAACAACTAAAGCAATGATTAGCTTCTTGCGTGGGAAGGGTAGTGGGAAGGGAAGCACGATAGAGCACTTCTAGAGTCTAATAACCCTTCACCCACAAAAAGTATATCCATATATTTAAGAAAAACTTGTTCCTTTGTAGTGCTGAGTTTTAAGCCTAAGGCCTTATACAAGCTAAGCACATATTCTACCCTTGAGCTACACCTCCAGCCCAAAACTTATTTTTCTGACATGAGAGGTGGGATCCTAGGCTAGGAATCCCGTTACAACATTCTGTATAACTCCCTAGTTCAGACATAAAAGAAAAGGAACAGGCTTATAACAATAACAAAATACACTGAGTTAGAAGATCATGGTTACATAGGTGATACACTTAAGAAATCCCCCATCAGATCCTCTCTGGAGACAGGAAGCTGAAATGTCTTCAATTCCTAGGCTCTTTAGCAGTATTCAGACAAAGGTGGCCCTCATAGATCAAGCAGAAAATTATTTCCTTTGGTAAACAACCAGGCTTCCAACCAGGATTTAAAAAAAAAAAGTGATCATACACATTCAGTGGCTGCTTCAGAATTTCCACATAAAAGAGGCTTAGAGGTGGCAACCTAATTGGATGCCCAAAGTACAGGATTAATTTTGAAGCTAAAGTTGCTGGAGATTTCACATAAGACTAAAAAAATATCAAATTTCCATGGCAATACAAGACACAAAAGGGGAAGTGGCAGGATAAGGCATCCCAGGCCAACTCTTGGCACCATCACTGCATTCGCTAATACCAGTAGTTCTCAAACTGCCACACACTACGAATCACCCATGACAACATTAGATAAACCTGGGTTTCTGTTCCACCCTCAAAGTTTCTGGCTGCCTCACCAGCTCTGAAGTGAAGGCCAAGAATTTGCATTCTAACCAGTTTTAAGGGATGCTGATCCTACTACTTGGGGAACCACACTTTGAGAATTAATCTTAACCAATTGGAGCCTAACACCTAGAACATCCAGCACTCTCATAGTGCCATCTAAATAACATACTCATTGTTAAACTTCATAATTTGTAAAAGCCAGGCACGGCGGCGTGTGCCTATAACCAGCACTCAAAAGAGCCAAGACACAAAGATCGCCTTGAGTTCAAGGCCAGACTGGTCTACATAATGGGTTAAGAAAAAAAAATACCACTGTATCTCTAAGCCTTTCCTGCATATGGTACCTGAGGTACATGCTAGTTGGAATGAACATTCATAATACACAATAAGCTTGCTGATGATCAGTAGTGTCTGTTAGTAATTCACAATACAAACAAATGCAGAGCAAGAATTTGGAGCAGTTTTGTTTTAAAATGTTACTATCAGGAAGCAATAAACAGCAAACTAGTATCCAAGGATTTACACCATACTCAGTAATCCATTCATGACTCCAGAACTGGAGTTTTCAAGTATCCCAGAGCCTGTACTACCACAACGGCTGGGGTGGTAGCACAGAAATGATGAAGGCCTTGTCCTTTCATCTTTGTTCCTCTCTGAATCAGGTCAGCTTTTCTCTGATTTATATATTAGGATAAATTATATATATTTTATGCTTTCACCATCCCTTTGCAGGGGGGACGAAAGGCTTAAAAACCATGGAGTTTGGCTACTTCTCAGACTCTTCCCATTTCTGTGATTCTACTATAAAACAAAGTTCAGTGGAAGACTACAAAAATAAAAATAGCAAACCAGCCCAGGAGGCTAACAAAAGGCTACGTACAACATCAGAATGAGTGTTTGGCAATCAGATTACATCTGTGTCCAGTATGAAGGTCTGAACATCACACTTTGATGCATAAAAGTTTGATCTTTCAAACTTTGGCAGCCACCAAACATCTGCAAACGGATTATAAAAAAAACTACAGTAGCAATTATCTTTGGTCTGACCCAGTCATACAGATCCCTGTAAAAAACAAGTTTATTCATTAAAACCATGTAGAATTAATACCGTGAGATTTAGAACAAGAAGCCACATCCTCAGGATTGTTATTGAGCAAAGGCTGCCTACTCATGTTAAAACTTTTCTTTATGTCACATATTTATAAGTTACCAGGCATGTTGTACATAAAGCACTAGTATTACTGTGGTCCACAACATGATCACAATTGAAAGAAAAGAATAGCGGGGGTGGGAGATAAATAGTCATATCTTTTACTAAAAGTTTTAATTTACAGAGTTACCCCATAATTGCAGCATTCAAAACCATCTGTAAGGAGTAAAGGAGGTGCTGGAACCTTCTACAATAGAAGGTGGTCCATTCCTTAGATGCCAAAACTGCCTGCAACAACAAAGCTGCCTACCACAGAAGGAGGTAGGATACAGTGTGAAACAAAGGCTAGTAAGAGGGCTAAATCTGGAAGGCCACTGGGATATCACCTCAGCATCATTTTACTTTCAAATATCCCTACTGCTGCCTCCTTTGGCTGCACAGTACCTACAGCCAGGAAGAGTCTCAGAACATCAGTAACCTGCAGTCCATTTCCAACAGGTGATCCACAACACATGTCAAAACCCATCTCTCTAAACCAAAGCAGCCAGAATGGCCCTCACTGGGGGAAGGGTACCGGGGACAATGTCAGAAGAGGTATTTGCAGTCATTATTTCATTTAACAGAAAGATATACTGAGCTTCTTCGGCAATGCCGACTGAACACACAATACCAAATCTCAAAGAGTTTACAGGGGCTCTGAAAGATCGATATTCAACCAACCAACAATGTCAAGTCACAGTTAATGGTGCAGGGAACTCAGAATTTAAAGTCAAAGGCAGCCAACTGCAAATACAGATATGCACCACATAACAACATTTCAGCCAGCAACAGACAACGTATGAAATAGTGGTCCCATAAGATTATAATGAAGCTGAAATATTCTTTTCACTTAGTGACACTGTAGCCATCCTCATACCTCACAGTGCAGTACAATACCTGATCTCATCTGTGGTGCTGCCAGCATAAAAAAATAACCCACGCTGCCACAGATACAGCACATACGATTGGGCATGGTACATAATCCTTCATAACTGTAATAAACAATTGTGCTCCTGCTTTATGTATTTACTTCTTATCACTATTTTAATGTATACTCTTTCTAGGTATATACAGTGGTGCCTTGGTTCACGAACATAATTTGTTCTACAATTTTGGAAAAGATGGCCACGTTTGTGTTTTGTGGGAAAGACGGCCATGGTCATGTCTGTCACCTGATGCAGAGTTCGCAAAAATTAAAATTTTGCCAAATGCTTGAGAACCAAATTGTTTGCAAACAAAAGCATTCGTGAACCAAGGTACCATTTTATATTTAAAAAAAGAAAAAAACTGCATATCAAACAGTCCCAGCAGGTTTCTCTGGGGTATTCCAGAAGCCACTGTTGTCAGGAGAGGTGACAGCCCCACGCATGTGCATGTGCCTGAGTGGGAAGACCTTCCAGGGGGATAAGAGTGGGGGTGGAAGAGAGTGGTGC